ACGCTCCACTGTTTAACTGTTCTCATGGTGAGAAAGTTCTTAATATCCAGCCTAAATTTCCCTTGCTGCAATTTAAAATTATTACTCCTTGTCCTGACCCCTGTAGCCACAGAGAAGAGTTTTATCATTCTCCATATAGTTATCCTTTAAGTATTTGAAGACAACAATTAAATAACCCCTCAGTCTTCTCTTCTAAAGAACAAATGAATCTGGAGCAACAAATCTGATAGAGTATTTAAACAGCATTATTTTAAGGTTCAATGTCCTGATTCCTAATGAGCGCAAAAGACTTGCGTATTGCACTTTTGCCAGACTTCAGTGACAAGAAATTAAATGATTCAGTCAGGACAAGAAACCTTCTGAGGCATCAACAAGAGGTTGCAGCAAGTTTGTTATACTTCTGTTAGAAAAAGAATGCAAGTGAACAGCTAAGAAAAGAATCAAATAGTATAAACAAAGACAGGAAGTAAAATCAGAATTTTATCCCAGAACAGATTACCAGTTTATCTAGTCCAGTACCCTGCCTCCACAAGAAGCATATAATGTGGAAGTTATCTAATAATTGCAACTTCTAAATATTTTAGCAAAGAAGAAAAATAGCTCTTTTGATCAGCTGTTTTGTCCAAAATTCTTCAGATAGCTTCATAGCAGAACATTGGTCCAAGATTTTTAACCACTTTAGCTGACTGAGTCTCCCTCTATATGTTATAGGGATCATGTACATAATAAACTTGGAACCAGCTACATATGCAAAGTAGCTATCATGCTGTAAAAGGTCCAATCAACTATAACGTTAAACCTTGAAAATATGTATTTATAGCTGGCTTCTATTGAGTTTTAATTTGCATGTGTAGCAGGGGTCTCTCCTGCAAGTGGGAGCCCTGTCAGCTGAGGAGGCTCCCAGCCACAGGGATGTAACATGCCTAGCCAGGGCTGGGAGTCCCAGAACAGAGGTAACTCTCAGCCCAAGCAGCTGTGGACTCTAGGCCCTGGCAATACGGGGACTCAAAATCCAACAGTTGCAGACACTGGGTGCTGGGACCAGGTGGGTCTTGGCAGCTGGGGGGCGCAGATGCCCTGGGGATCTGTGAAACCCCCAGGGCTGCAGAGTTGTGGCTGCCATACTTCATGCACCCCTGAGGCTAGGGAATCATGACATCCAAGATCCCGCAGCCCCAGTGGTTTCTCGTACCTGAGGCTAGAGAATTGTGGCAGTTACAGTCCTGCAGCCCTGTGGGTTTCATAGAAACATAGAAAATTTGGGTTGAAAGGGACATTAGGAGGTTATCTAGTCCAACCCCCTGCTCAAAGCAGGACCATCCCCAACTATATCATCCAGTCCAAGTCTTTGTCTATCCTGTTTTTAAGAACTTCCAAGGATGGAGATTACACAACATCTCTGGGTAACCTGTTCCAGCACTTTACTACCCTCCTAGTGAGAAAGTATTTCCTAATATTTAACCTAAACTTTCCTTCCTGCAACTTGAGACCATTGCTCCTTGTTTTGTCATCTGCCACCACAGAACAGTTTAGCTCCATCCTCTCTGGAGCCACTAAAGAGGTAGTTGAAGACTGCTATTAAATCCCCACTCAGACTAAATGGGTGTCTTTAAATGTGCTCCGGAGCAGGGAGGGGGCCATTAATTAAAGCAGCTCTCAGGAGCTACTACTACTTCTTTCATATGACATTTTAGTATTACAACATTCATAGATTAAGATCTAAATTTGATAACCATTCGACTGCTTTCAGGGGTAGCTCCACGGATTGATTTTAGATCACCATTACATGATATAATTGGGCAATCATTCACAATGTGTTGCACCATCTGAAAAATAACACCACAATCACAACCTGCAATCAGGAGCTAATTAAAGCACATGCAGCATCTTGTGCATTCAGTGTCCCATGCTTCAAAATGGTGGTGCAGGCTCATTTGATGAGCTTTAGTTAAAGCACCATTAAAGCTTTAGTTAAAGCACCCCGCCAACAGTTTGAAGCACAGGGATGCCGAATACACGTGACACCAAGGTCAATTAGCATGCTTCAACAAACTTGATTAATCAAGTCTGCTCTGACATGTTCTAATTAGAACATTGGATCAGACATTGGGCACATGTATAGTCCAGTCCCTTCAGCCTCTCTTCATGAATCATATGACCCAGCCCCTTAACTGTTTTCATTGCTATCTGCTGGACTCTGAAATTTGTCTACACCCTTCTTACAGTGTGGGGCCCAAAACCAGACACAGTAATCCAAGTGTAACCTCATCAGTGTCAAATAGAGAAGAATCACTTCCCTCAATCTGCTGGCAATGCTCCTACTAATGCAGCCCAGGACACTGTTAGCGTTCTTCACAACAAGGGCACACTGTTGGTTCACATTCAGCTTATTGTCCACTGTAACCCCAAGGTCTTTGCCTGCAGAACTGCTGCTTAGACAGTCAGTCCTCAGACCATACATGAGATTGTTTTGTCCTAAGCGCGCAACTTGGCACTTCTCCTTCATGAACCCCTAAGGCTGGGAGATCACAGCAGCTGTGATCCCCCAGCCTCAGGGTGGGGGGTGGAGCCACTCAACTGAAGGGGCTCTCAGTCATGGGAGCTTGTTTCTTGTTGGTACAAGAATGGGCTTCCCCTGCGCCAGCAACAAGGCACGATGGGATCATGCATGGCAGGAGGCACGACTGTGTGGACCACGCATTATATCTCATTGTACCTTCATCTGCACATGTAGAGGAGCCCTAATTTTTAGAATTCTCTCAGCATTCTCTTCAATTTAATTTCACGTGCTCAAGAAATGTTATCTATTTACCTTAATTCCACCTTCCACCAATTTTCTATGTACATTTGTTTGTGTAATTTATTTTAATTTGATTTGCTGCTGGGAAGTTTATATTTACTGAGAAAAATGCTTTAATGGGGAAATATATAAATAAAAGAATAAATCAAATATAGAATTCTCCAAGGAATTCTCATTCCTTCGAGCCTCAGACCAGCAGAGACTCCCTATGCCTGACAAAGGGTGACTGCTCCCAAAAGCTTGCTAAGAACTTTTTTCCAACTACTCAGTTGGTCTAATAAAAATTATCGCATCTAACCAAAGAACCTTGCCTGCCTATGCCCTTACACCAACACAGCAACAATCAAAAACTCAGCTTGCGGTCAACATACACTAGAGCAGGGGTAGGCAACGTTTTTTGGCCGGAGTGCTGAAAAAACCACAATGTGTACCTTGTAAGGTGCCGGAACACCACAAAACAAAATGGGCGGAGGGGGTACATGGCAGGATGCATTGCATATTTAATACTATTAATAATCATTAATGTTGCTTTTTTTTTTTTTTTTTTTTTAAACAGTAAATAGAGGACTGGTGTCAGGTGGGGAGCGGGGGATGCCTCAGGGCTCCACTACTCGGGCAACAGCGGGGGGCCCAGCAGCACCAGAGGTGGGGCCCAGCCAGCTTGCGCAGCTCTGCGGGGATGAGGTGCAGCCACCCTGCCCACGAAGGGACACTGCCTGGCTGGGGCAGGACGCAGGGCTCAGGGGGCTCCTGCTTGGTCTCTGTGTGCGCCGGGTATAGTGGGAGTGGGAGCTGCAGCTACAGGCTGTTCCCCAGGCTCTGAGAACAGCTGCCGCAGTTGGTGCTCAGGGCCGAGCCAGCCAGGAGCCTGCAGCGCAGCGGCTCTATGCAGTGCCTGCCCCAGTCCTGGGCCCT